ATGACTACACTGAATTTTGTCCCCTGTGCGCTTTGTTGGCTAAATAAACGAAGAAAATAAATCTGCAACGCTGACCCTCCCCTCGTGGCAAGTCCAGCGTGTGTACAGTTCATTAACGGGCATTCAAGATTTTAACCCTTGACACAAATGTCGAGCTGCGTATGGGACACGGACATTTTCGACGGTAATTAGACACGGTCTCCGGCAGCCCTTTGTAAGGACACCTGCGAGTGTTTATGCTACACACGCACACATTACACGTATTGAGTAACCCTCGAGGATCCCAATAGCAATCATTGTGCTCGAACAATCCACACTCGGACATCGGGCTCGCGACCTCTAATAATGCACCGATGAACAATGCATAAGATCACAAATGAATAATAATTGTCCTTTTTTTTTGAATAACTCAATTAAGAGATGGTTCAACAACAAACTTGGCACCGACGAATAAATTAAACGTGTTGTACTGCCACACATGTTTTATTTGTGTCGTGTACAGATGCACTTTGATTTCTAATGTGCGCTCCTATCAGTTGCATACATGTGTACAATAATAATAATAATAAATTATCAACAGTGGCATTAAAATGCAACGCTTTTATCTTTGTGTAATAGTAAAAATTCATTAGCTTTTTTTATTAGAATTATACAAACACATTGCAACTCTTATACGCAGCGATTGAAATGTAGGTCTTCCGCGTTCAACTTTTTATTATTACTGATTACATATCAAAAAATATACATACATCATAACTTGTTATTTTAATGATTATTAAAACGCTACTCTCAATAATTTATCGACTGCAGACGTGTGTACGGATAACGTTTATTTATTGCATTAAAAAAATCGAGTCCAACTGAGTAAATTTGTCTAACAGTTTGACCAAGAGAGTTCAAAAATGAGAATGCTAAAGACACGCTGTTCTTACATTCTTATGTATTTCGTCATTTAAAAAAACCGTTTAGTATTTCAGTACAATAAAACATTAAATTACATTTAACAGGGCTGCGAACCGGCCGTTTATTTTCGTGGGATATTACATTATAATAATGTCATGGTGGACTCATTATGTCGCCTATGGGCACATTATAAAATAACCACACTGCATGCGCCCCGTCGACACTTCCAAAAGATACACCTTGTGTTTGACAATGCGACACTTAAAAAAGTACACACTAATAAGTGTAACCACCGTGGGAATGCAAAGCACTTTGTTCTCGTTATTTTAGGATTAATGAATTCCTCGGACCTCGTCGTAACCGTAACGCAAAGTAAAATTTCGTGACTATGGCGTTAAAACGTCTTTTTATATATTTTTACAACAATTACATAGCTACTTCCCACTTGCGTCCTTCGACTCTTTCCTTCTTCTGTAGTTAATATGTATTGTACTTATATGCGGCTTCACGACTTCGTCACTGCAAACGCGTTGTGCTTGCTGGGAATTTTAACGACCAATTACTGAAGTCAAACCAACGTGACAATACGACCTTACTCAATCTCTGTACAGTAAAACATTAAGTACAAGGGAATCCTACAATCTTTCGTCTGATCTATTTAAAATGTCATCTTTTCGGTTCGGCGAGTTTTATGACATAAAAATAGACGACAAATAGCCTTTAATATAAATTGAAAAAAAAAACGACACGGTTAATCATACTCGTCTACCAGAAAATACCTAATTAAGTTATTATTTTACTTTTATTTAATATTATTACATTTTTTTTTTTTAATTAAGGAATTCTACCTGTAATTAAAAAAATAAATAAACACGTAATTGTAGCTCATCAAATCTTTGAACTTCATCAATTCGAATTGTATTCACTTTTTATTGAAACCAAAATTCAACAAGTTATTTATCACGTACAGTATTGCAATTAACATCACTGATCGTTGCGCGTGGACTACTAAATGGCCGAAAATCATAAGACCGGATTTCCGTTCAATGAATAGAATGGGTTTTTTTCTACAGGTACGCTATATGGTCATGTGTTAGTTACAGGGATAGATAGTACATTGTGTTCAAACACTGAAGAATAGCATGCAGTTGTTTACACGTAGTGATTCGGATGACAAAACCGCTTCCATAAAGCTTTTTTTTTAGTTTGTACAAATTATTTTATGCAATGTTCTAGTTGTTACAGCTACTAAACATCTAAACAAAACAAAAATCACCTAAACGATTGTCTGGGAAAATAAATAGGAAACACCGACTGCGATTGCCGGACCGTGACTCATGTTTTTATGCATGAGGTATGTAATGTGAGAAAAAAATGGAAACACGGATTGTTTAATTATTATAAGGGCGTTATTACAATTATTTTTTTAATGTTTCCTGTCCAAAGAAAATCTGCTCGGTAGTGATTGAAATTCTAATAATCCCGATATGTATATATATATGTTGAATAACTAAAAACAAATATTGCCTCATTGAAATTGTCTTTGTACCATTCAGTAAATAATAATACCACGTCGTTACGTTATACTGTCACCGTGTTAATTATTTAAATAACAAAATATGCATAACGAGTGTTCGAAGATTACAAAGTGAGTTGTAAGAACTTGCCCACGCACCATAATCACCTAATATAATTTATCTATGTTGTGTTTTAATTACAAAGTACCGCACAAGCGGCTTGTGCACCACAAGGTTAATACAACTGATTATATACAATGCAATAATTTTTTATTATGATTATTTTAGAAATTAGGTCAAAATACAATGAAAGGATTAGTTCGTAAGAAACATCCCACAGAGATAACCAAAATATTCCGTAAACAACATATTACTGTTTTACTATTTCTTAGTTGAGAGGTTATCGACGACGTTTAATTACTACTAGTCAAAGGCGATTGAATGGGACATTTGTCGTCCGCGTTGGTCGCAACAGTCCAGAGTATTTGTCCATCTTCGACCGGCACACCAGAGAGAAAATGAAAATCCCATAGCTGCTGCTTGAGTAAAAGCATCTCTAGACCGATTTTTCTGGATTCTTCTAGCGCATCGTCGTGTTCCCATTGCTGTTGGTCGAATATCAGCCCTCTTCGAGCTTTAGCAGCTTTAACCAGCATCAGATACAAGTGGCGCGTACTTTGTGTTATTGTCAATAATAACATTTACACTGTTTTGTCTGTGGCGAGTAGTGAAATGTGCTTATGTCGAGTAGACTGACCACAAAGAGTGGAATGGAAGGAGTACAACATCGACCCACGAATTGCGCCGTCTTACCAAATTAGGAAAAGTCTGCTAGGGTGTAAGATCAGTGGTAGGCGGAAAATTGAACAAAACGCGTAGGCGATGGCGTCCTTTGTTAACCGTTGGTCACAAACGAGTTTTGTCTGTTTAATATTGAAATGTAATTTATCAATTAGAAGAAATCCTCAAGACTAGATTTCTGGATATTTAAATTCAATACCAAACATTTGGAGTACACGAAGGGCGCGTATATAAATCACTACGAACCGGCGTTTTCAAATGTATTATAATCATTGTGAACCGTGAAAAGGGTGGCCGGGGCATAATCTTTTAATTGTGTTCTTCCATCATAACTGAAACATTCTCATACTGTACGCGGCGGAAAGAAGAACATCACATCAATTATTACCGTCGGCTAGTGGTGACGGCGGCGGGGGAGAGATTTCTATAATATTATTTTCTCCACGCCGCGTTGGTGGCCGCCGTAGGTCATCCGTGGAAATCCTTGGACGCTTCCTCCCGGTAATCATCCGCACAGAACGAAGAGGTATGGCACATCAACCCGATTTCTCTGGTGCAGGGGCCGTAACCCTTACGCGCACACCGAAGCGGCTGCAATCCTTCGGCCAGAGTACAATACCCCCGTCCGAGCATTACTTATATGTAATAATCAAGTATTCTTCATATCGTGTGCCGCGCGTTCGGGATTCGCATTACTCGGCGGTCGTCGTCGTCGTATAGTAATTTTTTTTTATAATACAATAAGTCGTTCATATAAAAACATCATACACGCGTTTACTACTATTATTGTTTGAGGTGGCGTTGGCGATTGTTTATTATTGTATAAAACGCGCTATTGTTACAGTCTTATCTAAATAAGCGCCACACAAAATAGTCGATCACACTTAGCCTATCGACGGTAACGCGCAATATTGTTTTACGTGTAATGCATTTCAGCGGTTTGAAGGTGGTAAATGCCGTTTTTCAAACCGGAAACCGTTTTGTGAAAATAATCGGACAACACTAAACGCAGCGATACATGTGCAATCATTGAAAATGCACTAGTCGATATAAATAATGCGTAGAGACCATTCAGTGTGTCGTAAATTTCACCGTGAATGTGTCTATTCATAGCGTGTTGTTTGTTTATATAAAGGTGCAATGATCGCATTGCCAACACAAATGTAACCGTCTCGATTCGAAATTGAATACAGAGTTCAATTAGCAAAACCGAGAAGAGTAAAATGCATTTTCGAATGCATAATAAAACAATCCGAGACCAAACTCGAATAATAAAAAAAACAAAATAACAACAATAATAATAATAATAGTAAAATCTAGAACGGGCCTTAACGTCTGTAACGTACACGCACACAAACACAAACGGAGCACATGGCTGTTAGGATTTTATTGTTATTATTATATTTCTCTTTTTCTTTTCTCGTACGTTTAAATGTATTTTTTTTTTTTATGATCATTACCAGCGCGTGTATACGACGACGACGACGACGACGACGAACCGCATATAGTAGTAAACACGCACGCGCATGTGCGCGTCGGTTGTACGGCGAGAGACCGATGGATAGGCGGCGGCGGTGGCGGGTAAATCTTGCGCGCGCTCAAAAACCCGTGGGCCCAACGTACAAACTGGTATTGTTGTCAGTCGCGGTGGTGGTGGGGATACGGTTTAGGGACGGCGACGTTCGCGGTGGATGACGTGCCACTGTTCCTCCACCCCGCCGCCCACCATAGATGGAGCGCCGCCATAGTACGTGACCTCGGCGGTGACGCTCGGGCCCCGCTGTACGGACCCATTTCATTCTCTCTCCGTACGCCGTTTCACATGCAATCTCGACGTTCGCGCGTCCGTCCGGCGTCCATTTTGTGTGTGCTGTTAATAACATTGTACCCGTATCGTTATAATATTTTTATCGACGTTTCGGTCAATAGTCGCGGTGTGTGAAATTGTTTTTAATTTTTGTTGTTTAAAAACCGTTTGTTTGTTTTTTTTTTTTTTCACTCGTCTACTTAAACGTTCTGTGTTGAGTGAGCGAGTGTTGTTTTTCCAACAAAACGAAATTCATCGGCCGACCGTTGTTCAGTGTACGCGCGCTTCGAGTGCCAGTGCAGTTTGGACCTAAGTACTATTTTTGATCGCTTATTACGATCTTTATCATTGTGTTTTGTTTACACCCGTCGTCGATAATACGACAATGACGGTTACGTTCGTGTCGTTGGCGACCGATGGAGTCACCGTCGGCAGACGCGTGTTGATGGCCAAGACGGATTCGCTGAGTAACGTTGATAACAACAACGGACCGGTCACGGCAACGGCTGCGGCCACCACGGCGGTTACGGGCAAGGCGTCCGTGCTAAGCGTAAAGCGCGTGCTGTTCGGACCGCCGGCCGACCGCTCAGAAACGCGGGCGTGGCTTGAGCGACAATTGCAGTCGGCAGCAGCGGCCAATTCTCGTTCCTGGAACTTTGATTTTGTCAACGAACGGCCGATGCGTGACAGCCCTGCTGACCGTTACGCGTGGGAACGCATCTGTCTACCACAGTCGTCACCTCAAGCGGTTAATGTTAACGAAGAAAGCGACCAACAGAACAGCAGTAGACAGCGACAGTCTCGAGTTACAGGTAATTGTCTATTGAGTAATTATTATCTAGTAATTAACTTTTTCTATCAGCGTAAGGGTATACTGAATTATATTGCTATCAGAACGGCCGTTTCCCCCGATAGTTGCACGGCAACCGGCCCCGGACACCTGCATTGAAAATAGGGTGCAGTGAACCCTTCTGTTGGGTGAGAGTAGGGTGAGCGCAGCTACTGTGGGAAAAATGTAATAAAGTATGAAACCGACGAAGGGGGAGTTTTTATATTCTCCTTTCTAATCTTAGTTTATTACCTTAAACCCTTTTTGGATAAAAAAAAATAAAAAGTAATAAGTGTCATCCCGGAAAAAATCTGTTGTTTATGTCCGCCCACCGATTGGTTTCAGTCGATAAAACGCGAATATACCTAAACCTTTGTTGTCGACCCGGTGTCTGTGTGTACGTTATAGTTTTTGTAAAGGTGTAAAAAAAAAAAAATAAATAAAAATAATATTATGCAAAAAATACAGTAGCGATTGGCGTTGGACGATAGCGAAATGGCGCGAAAACAATTAACGTCGAGCAGAGACCTTGAATATGGTTGTACGTTTTTTTTATTTAATTTTTTTTCATTTCGGAATCGCGCTTATTTTTTTTTTTAGGTTATGCAAATATCGTTACTAAATATTGTGTTTATATCAGCATTGATGAGTGTGCGTGTGACGAGGACACATGATATTTTTTCCCCCAACCGGGAGGAGAGTAGTGTCACATTATACAAATGTACGATACACAAGGATCTGCCCATAATAATAATAATAATAATAATAATAAGCTCGCGTTGCATATGTGCACACGTGTTCGAGAGACCGGTTTTTTTTTTCTCGTCCCACACACTCGTATTAGTAGTTAGTTACACGACGTGGTGGGGAAACGACAACTCTCGGACATGAAGTAAATTGATGATACATATTAAAAAAAATTAAAAAGGGAAAAATGCATCAGTTATAAATTGGGCGTGGTGGTCATATTCATCATTAATAGACTAACGTGTGTTACCTATGGGTTGTATTAACAAATCATTTTTTTTTTCTTATGTTTTAGACTTTATGAGTAAAACCAAAAAGAGACCTCTGACCACCATCGGGTCTTCGAATAAAGTAGTAGACGAAGATTTATCAGTACCAGCGAGTAAGAGAACTCGCCGAACGGCTATCTAAATTGGTAAAGGATGCACAGAGTAAATATAGAAAACTTCAAGTGCCCAAAAGTTAATTTTCGCCTCTAAAATTTTCGAGATCTCCCAAATAGATAGTCTTACTATATTATTAACTTCTACAGGATTTGTTGTCCCTAGAAAATACTTTTATTGCATTATTTATATGTGTATAATTTTTTCAAAACCATCGTTATTGTACAGATGTTTTTAAATTTTAAAAATTTTTAAAAATTATGTATTTTTTTTAAACAATTAATATTTATACTGTTTTGTTTTTTTGATCTCCTTCACGACTATTGTTCGGTTTTCCATTGCTTATTATGCCCAGTCCAATTTTGTTGTTTTATTTGTCTTGACAAAATTTTAACGAAGAAAACCCATCCTTTAGATGAATGTATTTTCTTAAAATAAAACTATCATATAATTTTAATTAATGTTAACTTCTTAGATTAATGTCTGTACGTTTAGTATTAGCCTTAGATTTTAATGTTAACGTGCAATTATACATTTAATTTTTAACTTAAGCTTAAATACATACAAATTATAAGCGAAAAATTAATATAATTTAGCATCACTCATAAACAAGTTAACAACACTATCATTTATTTTTCTTTTTTTTTTTTTTTTTTTATTAAAACTTTTTTTCATTTTTCGAGAAGATCTCAACTTATAAATGATAAAAATCCAAAGATTCATTGGTCTCTTATGATTATTCTACAAACTTCCAAAGATATTAATGATTTAAACTTTTCAGCTCATTATTTAAAATCAAAATTTCAGACTGTCTTGGTGTTATCTTTTACTCAGCAGTTCTATCCGAAAAAAATGATCGAAGTTCTGTGTCTCTAGATAACGCCATTTAATTATTTTAATAATTTATCCAATTAAACTCTTCGAAATATAAATTATTCAGGGCAAATATGCACATCACAAGATAAAAATTGAATTTAACAAAATTTTATTATTCCATTATGGGACTGAAATGATCTCATTGTTATTAACTTTTTTTTTACACAAGGTTATTTTGAACAAAAAATTCACTTGTTGTAAAAATATCTTGTATAGATTAATTGTTTTTCTTGTTTATATTATTATTATTATTATTATTAATAAATATATTTACATATATATTATTTATATGGAAAGAATAAAGTAAAAATTGTTCAACTCGCCAGGGTTGTAATCGTTCTATTTTGTAAAAACAGTTTCTCTTATATTTTTATATATTCATTATGTGATGTATTATTCTGATCTCAACAGAAAAAAAAATTACTTTTTTTTCCAAAGGTATCAATTAAATGTAATATGTTAAATTTGTTTAATTTATATTACTTTTAACCCTGTAAGAGAAATATATATTTTTTCAATTTAGACCGAGTAACAATTTTTGTTTTATTTATGGTTATAAAAGAAGTTAACATTTGAAAATTGTACATACAATTTATATAGGATTGTGTTGTTTTTTTTTTATTATTATTATTCGACAGTGTTTTTTTAGACTTATAATACCGTAGACATTAGAAAATAAAATGTAGACTCTAATTGTCTTAAGTGTAAGCAGTGACATATTTTTAATATATATATATATAAATATATTTGTAGTTATATATATGTATGTATTGTATATAAGAAAATAAAATATATGTATTTGTAATAAGAATTGAAATACTTATTTTAGTTTAACAGGAAATATAGTATTTAATAATTAATTCCTCTATGTTGTAATATTTTGAAAAATTGGTTTACCAAGTATAACATAAAAAGTATTCCTATCGACATTCCCGACTTATCTGTTAGTAAAACTATCTCTTGGTTGTTGTATTTAGCATAAAAAAGTGTGCTCATCACAATTAAATGAAACGACTACTATGACGGAGTTCTTGTAACAATCACGTTTAATGTCTTGTGTCATAATCTTTGTGGTAACGTTTTCTTTTTTATTAATGCTTATTACGTAAAATTCAACCGAAAAACTCAGTAATTTTTGGTGATAAATAGTTTTGTTAACAAACCCGCCGAGAATATTATCTGAAATTGGGTATTAAAAATTGAGAAACTGTTAAAAAAGGTTCTTGGAATTCTAGGAATTACTCGACCGTTGAGTCCACGTATGTGGTGAAAAGTACGTCAAATAAGTATGACTAACATGAGTAGGTTCATTGAGATGAGTCACCAGAGATAAAAACGTCTAGACACGGTCAAATGCAGTCGGAAACCTTTCCGGTTCCTACAGGAATTCCATACTCGTGCGAACATGTAGGATATGTGTAAATTATAAAATATTTTGCTACGGATTACATTTTGAAATATTCTCAGATTTGACCGATAAAAAATAAACGTATTGACGTTCGGCTAAAATCTATTGATCATTTAGTTGTTGGAGTTGTTTTCGAGGTCGGGCAACGAGTCGCGTGTTAAACATGGTGTTTATCTAATGTGATGCGAGGCATTTTCTCGGGGGGTGGTGTGTAGTATAAAACAACGGGGGTGTGCGATTATCAACCGTCATCATGCTCTTTACTGTGTGCCTTGTTCTTAATTGTAGCCCGTATAATTTTTGTCGTTGTTCATGTAAATCGATACACCCTATACTGTCACGAGCGTGTAGTTGTTTTTATCTATCCGTGTTGTCCGCATGCCGAAAAAGGTCTCCAAAGATAGAACCTGACACAGGACGATTCGATACTGGTGGCGGCAACGTTATCTTATAAAATTGTATTTGGGTGGCGGCAACGGACTACTCGCCCATGGCTATTTGTCACGTATTTATCTTCATAAGTGTGTTAGGAATCAATTGGCTCCAAAAATATCATATCAAGATAAGCAAAGCATTACTTCGGGAGACGACAACCCCCGCTGGGAGAGGCCACTGTCTGCACTGTTTTAAACGGTCGCCAAGCACCAAAAGAAGGGCGTTTATTTTACAAATAAAAAAAAAAAAAAGATACAACGTATACTACGGTATTTAGTTTGACCCCAGATAATAACGACCACTTCGACGCGACACACGTGCAACCCCCTTAAGTAAAGCGATGATACCCTTACATTTTAAACGTGACGAACCTTAGAAATTACAACAACGGCTAAGAGGTTTTGGCGCCTTTTTTTACGATTACAAAATACCAAACGCTCAACGGCTTACAAATACTCTGGATAATTAACTAACCGTGTTCTTATAAAAAGAATCTTGTCTGGCCGATCACAAGACCAGTGGCGAAATCAATAGGAGAGTAGCGGCGACAATAGTACTTTGAGTGAACTTTATATTTTTATGGTTCTATTTTTTTTATTTCGAAAGAAGTAACAACAAAAGTTCTCTCAATGGTAAAATGCAGAATTTTCTGAAGTGGGAGGGCGCAAAAAGTTTTTAGACATATTTTTTGAAGTTCAAAATACTTTTAACAAGTAGACGACGATAGTGCACGAGCGGACGCCCTTTCCCTAGAGAAAATTCTAAATACAGCACTATGCAAGATTCGAGAAAAACTTTTAGATATAATAAAAATATAATTCAATGAATAATTGTCAGTTTCAACACAATTAACCAAGACTGTATACTATAACGTATTTTATTTAATTTTCCACCATACTAAACTATATCAGTTCAAAAACGTCAGTGCGGAGAAAGTAAACCAAACAAAGATTATAAATATCTTCGCGGTTTTACACGGCGGCAAACTGGATGGGTGTTTATTTTTCGATCCTTTACCGTTGAACGATCCTGTGGGCTTCTTGAACAAAAAATTCGGTTAATATTTTTGGGGTGCACTACCGGTATTCTTATGTACTGAACGGGTGAACGGATATTTGTCGCGAGCAATACAAAGCAAATAATAAATCATTGCGACCACACGCGTTTTACGATGACTGCATATAGTCGGTCTTTTTATTACTTGAATCTTAGTTTTCCTGCACTTGTTTGTCACAATTTTTTATCAATAGCGAATATATTAATTTACAGCCTTTTACAAACCAGTATCGATTGCTTCACGCCTACATTACTTACAATTCATACATTCGACGGTATTACTTTTCATATTCAAAAGAAGGTGGTGTTACTTTATGTTGTCACTAAATATATTTTTCAATCATTCTTCTAATCTTTGACCTTCGACTGTAGTAATTTAGAATTAGTACACAATATAATAGTGTTATTCGACGAACAATAAGAAAATATTTATATGCACCGCATGCGCTTTTCATGGCACATGATCGTTACACACGCTATTTTCGTGTGCATTAAGTTGGTTTAATGATATTAAAGAGTATCGAAAAAAATACAACTTTATCTACTTGAGTTATAAATCTTCACTTTTTTTCTTCTTCAAAATTTTGTTCGCTGTTGTCGACAAACGAGATCGTTGTGTAACTAAATTGCACTCTACACTTAAATTTTTATTTAAATTTAACTCCTCGAATAAGTTGCAAGAGTGTTTTACATAAAAGTATTTGAATGCATTGTGTTTTCGCATAGCAGTCCGGTGCTGTTGGTTTTTTACGCGCACTCGCAACGTGCAATAAACAGGTACATGAGAATAAACTACTTTTCCGTCCCACGTAAATAAAACGAGTAAAATACAAGACATTTTTTTTCTTAGCTTAAAAACTACCATTCATAGCAATCGTCAATCGCAGTGTCAAGCGACACCTAATTCGAAAATCTCACGAGGGAGTGCTGTTACGCGATCGCGATTTCCTGCCGATAGAATGTTTCAAATAATCCCCTTAATAAGGGAAAGGTGTCATTTGTCAAGGAGAGAAGGCCAATTCGTGTTCATTGATGATTGTTGAGGATTAAGATGTGTGTACTGAGCGAAATATCAGAATTAAACGGGTCCGTGACTAGCATTTTCCCATACGACTATGTCTTTGCATGACGAACAGAGGTGTTGGCCGACTGCGGTTGTTAAACAAGAAGGCGAAGCGTCAGATTATGATGGAGACACTATTATACTTTTTATAAAGCTGTATACGTGTAGATACATTTTATTTTATATTTACATTATTTTGACTTAAGATAGCAATGGCTGCACAATTGAAAATTTTACGTGAGATCATTAAGTTCGCAGTTCCATGTAGTCAACGATTGTAAATTTTGATTTATTCTTGTATTGACATCTTTAAGAATGAAATTTTTTACTGTCGTATAAAAAGAGAATATTTTACTTATTTTTAACCAAGTGGCATACTTATTTGTGAATTTAGAAAACGTTTAACAACTCACACAACTAGGTTTATATAAAAACTTGTTATTTGAATAGTCAATGGACATATTAAAAAAATTGTCACCTCGGGGTTCACGTTTTAGACTATATTGAGAAATAAGCTAACGATTATTCATTATTCAAACATATATCTTGTTTAGGTTACTGAAATTTTCATTTCTATTGATTATATATTTTTTCTTAATAATTTTTTCACTCTCTAAAATTGTCGAACGAGTTAACAGTGACTATTATGATAGAATATTAACTGTTTCTATGAATTGGGGTTATGTAAGGCCGTAAAGGTCAATTAAGTAATAAATATCAGTCGTAAATATTAAATCATGGCGCATGCTAATTATTACTCGTGTGTGGTTGTAATTAGAGGGATCTTATTCTTCGAAAGACCGCACGAGTAACATTGACCCTAGTTTTATAAAAATCACATTTAAACAAACAATTGTCTTAGGAAAAATAAAACAACAAACATTTTACTAGATTACTTAATGAATAATTTACTATTTCAACTTTTATTTTAAAACGTAAAATTAAATTCAAAATGTTTACGAGTAAAAAATGTACAAAACTGAAATCGTGAAATATTAATGATATTTATAAATATTTATAGGTATTTTATTCTTAAAATAATCAAAAGTCGAATCCGTTAAATTTAAAATTTTTATCATTTTCTGTATCTATAATTAATATAGTTTTTACGATTTGTCTAAAATGCCAAGGGAAGTGTTATTTTTCGTTTGTTCCTCTCATATGAATGTTAATAATAATAAATTTAAGTGTAAGTATAAATAACATTCGTTTTATTCTATGGAGGTTTACGCCATCAGTAATTGTTACCAATTAATATTATATAAAAAATATCACATGGCTAATTAAAATTTCAGTTTATGTAAATTTTGGTAAATCTGAAATTTTAGTACCGGATGTAATTAAACAAAAATAAACTAATGATTAATTTAAAAATAAAAAAAAAATAAAAACTGTAAATAAAAATTGTATGTACATCAATAATTGTTTCAAAATCCAATTAACGGTGCCTACCAAGTGGTTAAAATATTTTTTTTGTTCTCGTAAAATTATTTCGCTCGTATTTAATTTAATTATATAACTTGAAAGGATTAGGAAGACAATTCTAACTATCATGCAATATTCATATAGTAATTAGAGTTGATGTACAAATTATTTTTATAAAATGATATACCATCGAATATCATGATAAAGGTGTGTTGTTTAATAAAAACTTCACAATTTTTTATATTGATGAACAGCCCATTGGCGCAACACGGTAGTTACCTGAACGGACTAATGATCTAAGACATTTAGTACAAGATCTCTTTCGTGATCCAAGTAATTTAATACACAATCGCCGCATCCGAGGTTCTTTTGATTCGTTAGAGGTAAGAGAAGTTTAATAATTCTGTTGTTTGATTCCGACGGGTACATTACATCCGCCTTGGGACTTAGACTACCACGCTCAGACAATAAATCTCCAGATATTTCAGATGTTTTTGAATTGTAATCCGTTTTTATTTCACGGTGTCCGTATGTGTGTAGGTAAGGGTAAAAATTACAATAACCAGTCGTGTACACTAGTCATATACTAGTACACGTACTTGGCGTATGGAGTTCTGCACAGCTCAGACGGTCATCATCCCTTTCCAATATTGGTGTGGGAGTACAACGCATACTCTGTAATTTAGGCTACTTAATGACTCTCTACACCAAGTCGTTAGCGGTCGGTCACGAAACTGACCCGTTGTTAAGGACTAAGACTCATTGTGCCCGAGAAACGTATGTATGTACACACATACATACGGCTCACACCACTTTGATAACAGACCACCACTTCTGGGTGGTAAAAAATATTTATGGGAAGTTATTTTCGGTAAAGTCACAACAAAGACAATGCGTAGGGGACTTGTGTAAAATAATTATTTACCCCCGCGATGCTTCTTATTCACTGACTTCAACAACGATTATCATAAATGTTATATATCAAATTATAAGTAAAAACAATTTTTGAAATATACTACCTATTGTACAGGTTCGGTTAAAAAACGTAACTTGTTTGTGAGATAAGATTTCCACCCAGATATGCGTTATGTTTATCACATAATACAACAATTTATCGTTTAGTGTAGTTTACTAATCCATTGCATAATATTTACAGTGCGTTTCTCTATTTTTAAAACGTTACTGAATGAAATCGTTCATTGTTTGTTATAGACTCTAGTCAATAGGTTTTGAAATGCAAAATGCCATGAATGGGTCTAGATAAAACGTGTCAAACATAACTTTGCTGTTGTTTTATGATCTAAGTGCTGAATTTATCTTGAAGACCTTGAACTTGTATTATTTGTCTTCTATGATTAGTTTTTTTCTTCTTTCAATTGGTTATTATTAAACACAACTTGTATCTCATAACACCAATTGCGTCAATTGAGCTAAATTTACACTAATTATACGTTCGTTAAATCATAATTATATAAATCTCGTAATCAACGCGCGTATAAAAAATATTAAGTTTAGTTTAGCTAAACAGTTAATGGGAAAAGTGTTACACTGCTGTACATTAAAAATGTTCTTTGTTTGTTTACTTTTTGACTGAATATTATACAGCGACTGTGCTTTTATTTATATATATTTGTTCGTATATCGTCATTGATTTGTAGTAATAGAAGTATTTTTTCGATACATTGAAATACAAATTTGTTATTTTGTTTTCCTTAAAAACTTTTCAAAAGTCGATTTATTTAGTTGTTGCAGCAAACCGTTCATTTTTTAAAATTCATTTATAAACGTATTTTGGCAAAGTAAGTCTCATGTTTTTCACAATCAAAAACGAGTAAATGTACTAGACGGGATTTGTAGTTACAAACAAAGGAGCAAATCCGAGTTGACTAAAATGACAATTTCAATTATAAAATTTGACAGTTGACTTGACAATTTCTAAGTCAACTGAACAATGATTATAGAATAATACTAAGCATACAAAATACGTAGTACGAGCCTTTTTAACGTCAAGTAATGACGACATTGAGTATCTGGCATTTTATTCGCTTAATTGATCAGGTCCGTGTTTATAGTGCCCCGTAGGAGTCCACATATCTGTCTCATATGACATGTCAACTGAAAATTATACAATAATTGTAATTTATAGGTGATTAGATATTGTTTCTAGATGGATTCGATACCTGGAAGGCAGTTAGTCTCTCATGTATCGAATACCACGTGCCGACTGCATTAACAGAAGGTACACCCGCCTCGTACAGATAGATGGCTACTGTCCAGATAGTACCGAAACTGCTTTATAGCAACATCGTCCCTTTGAAAGAAGCCGAATATTTGTTCATGTTCCATCGACTCTCGGCCATCCCTTACCACCCTCGCACGGACACAACGGAGAAAAATGTTTTATTTTAATAAGAAAAAAGACGTGGCAAGTGTGCCAGGCACGTGTGTTCTTTCTCTCTGATTGTCGCCCCCAGCAGGACGCGCATACGTATATGTATATTCCGTCTTTTTTTCCAGCTGGTTGTGTTATTGCACAATAATATTGTATACTGTAAATCGAATTCCTAAGCTCAAGGTGCACACAACTATATGTGCGTGTATTCGTGTGTGTGTATGGACAGTTTTTTAAAATAATACACGATCATAAGGACACGGGATTTCCGCAAAATGACATATAAAAATACTATTTTGACAGAGATTGTTCATGGAAATACGTATATTCTTTAAAAAATGCAGACAATAAATAATATAATGAATCGTATAACTCATATTTGTTGAAGAAATTCTATTTGAAAATATCGTATGATTTACTGATGATCATATTTTGGATTTTTTTTTTTATTTAATGTTTATAGTTTTCATCAAATTAACAATGCTAACCTATTTTTGACGTATAATGCATAGCTGTTATCTTAAATTCTAATAATGTAATAGGTATAGATAAATAGTCAAACGTTGTGTCAAGGAAATTACTTTTCTGTTGTTTTTTTATTTTTTGAATAAAGTAACATAAAAATATGTTTCAGGCAGTCGCATAAAATGAAATATTCTCCGAATTTCGTTTCTTGTATTCACTGAAATAATACTAAATGTCTATAGATAACAAGAGTAATTAATGAAAATATTATCAAGATCCAAGATGAAAATTAAAACAATTTTTATTCTTTAATGTTAAGGGTGTTTCTGAAATACACATGAAAAAACACGTAGGTAAATTGGACATTTTTAAAAATGATATTAAGACGGCCCACGTGGTCATCATGGAATTCAATAGAAACTACTATATCACGTATGGGCTTAGTGTTATTTTAAAAGGCGATATTGCAAAAAACCGTTGGTCGCATGTTTCCTTTGAAAAACCCCACTTGGACTCTACTTCAATGTACCAAGCAGCCGTCCCGATCATGCGGCACATGGCGTGATGTGTTACATGTATGAGACCGCAGAAGATCTACAGGTAAGAAAAGGAGAGAACGCACGGAACCCGATGGCGGATTATTTTGTTTATGATAGGTTAGATTGACGGGATCCGTGTTTGTGCGGAGGCGGTGGAGGACCAAGGAAGCAGTCCAGAAGCACCGAGGAGAGCAAAGCAATGCAGCTGTTGCGTACACCTGGTGTGGCGGACCTCGCGGGCCTTGGCGTAGACGGTCGGGTGGCAGCTGGTCGTCCGCCACAGCCTGCACACAGTACGAACCTAAGAAAGAGCAAGACGGCAGCAACAAATGCAGCAGCAGCAGTCGTAGGCAGACGCATACAAATAAAAGGTACCTTTTTTCTCTCTTCTATTTGCTCGTCTTCGTGTATAGCGAAACATACCGTGATTTTCCCGCCAAAAAATCTACCATAATTGACCTCCAGGCACCCGCACACCACCTGCACACGCGCGACCTTACGAAAATTTCCCGCCAAAACGCTGCACCTGCTCTCCAGGTAGGCAGATAGGTAGGTATGTATACCTTTGGCCATCACCTGCTTTTTTTGCTCACAATCACTTCAGCGTTCGTTGTTATTATTATTATTATCATTATTCTCGCCTCGGTGTTATTACTATTATATTTTGTTGTGTTTTACAAACAGCTGTTTCAAACTCAACCCTGTTGCTTCGCAAGTCTGCCGCCTAACATATGAATGGTCGGGTGTCTCGACGTACCTTAGCCGCGTGCTTCGATCGAGGGAGTGCCACTGTCGCCGTCATTTTTGCCCCAAGGAGAAGGTGGTAAGTGACCCTGTTGTAGTCGTTAATTATAAAGACGAGCGAAGGGCGTGGTGGCGGCCGCTTGATGCATTTTGATTTTCAATTGCAATTTACCATCGATAGGCTGCCGCCACGTGTCGACGAGGGATTGTTTTTTCGATTTTAGCCCTAAAACTATTGGTAACTTCAGGATATTGTTATATCGGACGGGTTACGGGTTCACGTCTGAATGCCACGAGACTTCATGGGAACGCGGACGCGTGTATTGTAAACCGGTATGGGTTAAGCGTCTAAAAAGGTGACGCCACAACGTGCCTTTGCAGGTATGCAGAAACAACGATAGGATGTTCTGAAAAACATTTCATAATCGGTTATAGGTAGGCCTATACAACCAAATATATCACTTGTGTCGAACACCGAGTTAATCCTTTCTACAATAGTGTTACACATGTTTGCCACGCTTACAGTTTCATTACACAGCCTTTTGTAGGAACTTGCGAAAAAAATGTCTCCAAATCGGTACCATTAAATATAAATGTCATGGTAAATACCACCAGACGCTGAGGAACCTACTACCTCCCAGTTTGGAACACATCGAATTGATGTAAAACCGTTGAAATCACGTAAAAAGTTATTTTTGACTGTTCAAAATAGTAACTAGAGTATGACGATAATGTGCCATGACAACAAAATATTTAATATGACGGACAAATGTAAAAAAAAAAAAAACAAATAAGGCGTATAACAAAAAAACACGTTCCGGTAGTAAAACAGTTAGTATAATTAGTCCTTGTAAAGGCCACTTGAACAAAATACGCCGTCTGTGTGGTTATTCACATGCTGTTTTTGAGAGCCGTTACACGTTATGGCTTAACAATCGGTTTTTTAATTAAACATTGTCATAACATACCGAATACATGGAAATAATGACCTTTTAGGTTTCCTGGAACTCCAACCTTTAATAACCGTTTTATTTCCCTTATTTACTCGCGTTAACGTATATTTTGTAACGGCTCTCCTAAAACTCGCCCCAGCAGTCGATGTTTCACGATTTATTATATTTTAAATACATATACATAAATGTGTATGGACTATTAAGATAATGCTATACACTCATTCCGTATCTTTGATGTAGTACTTATTACAGTGCGGTTACATTAAAAATGAAGATAGTAAAGAGCCTCGATTACTATAGTGTAATTTGATTTATGATAAAAGCTGTGTCTAATCCACTTCCGCTATTAGTAATACACTGGAAATACCCTTGACCAGGGTAACTATTTTTTTAAAACCGAATAAATATTCAGGTATGTTGTGTGACAATCGTAAAACTAACTTGAACAAGTGGCCAAAGTAATGAAATCTACAAAACTCGATATTTTAGATCTTAATTTTTTATTCTGTTCTTCACTTTATTTTAGAAATAAATATTGCTGTCAAGGAAGACCAAGGAGCCAATGACCCTCTGCATACATCATTACTTGAATGTTAACGTATAATAAGTTCTTTTCGTTAGTAAAGCGTATGCAACAATTGTACTATACTTAAAAAGCAAAATACGAGAAGTGCTCCGTACGTTTCTGTACAACAATGAAATGCCGCCAATATTTTTATGACCTAATTTTCTTGACAGTTCCTTGGACAGTTGTTGGCCCCAAGAACATAAATTATACAAACACAAATTCCAGTAACGGTTAACGTTAACTAACAGCAATTGTACTTCTTCTTGTTTCAAATCGTCATGACACCAATAAGTAAATTTTTTGTTGGTATAAAATTATCGTTCAATTAAATTCATTGAGTTCAAACGTTATTTGATAAGACAACCAATCATAATGAGACCAAAGTAATGTGCATTGGGTAGGTTTTACTGAACATAATAGTTAAGAAGGGCTGTAATAAACTCCGATTAAAGTGATCCTTTCAAAATTTTACTTATGTAAACTCTGACAAAACTGATAAACTATATTTCACAAACTCCGACAAAGTAGAAAATAAATCAGTATGTTTTATCAGTCTTCACTGCACATAAAACTAACGATTTTATCTAAANATTTCACAAACTCCGACAAAGTAGAAAATAAATCAGTATGTTTTATCAGTCTTCACTGCACATAAAACTAACGATTTTATCTTTTTANGTATGTTTTATCAGTCTTCACTGCACATAAAACTAACGATTTTATCTAAACATTTTTTAGTCCCCATTACAATTTAAATCTATACAAAAAATGTAGAATACCATTTGGTTAATGAAAACGTACAAATATGTACATACATTTTGATTAATAATTATAAACGTACATAATAAAATAAATATTATAATTAAAAAGTGTGCAGTTAAATATTTTTTTGTTTATTTTGACTATAACATCTATTCAATAAGCGGCAATGCAATAAAGAGGTAAAATCATACTATTACTGTTAACAGTATATAACTTTGGAACTAGTAAAAATATGTGATAAGTAAAAAAAGGTCTTTAACCCCCAACGAGAAAAATCCGTGATAATTATCAACCTTTTTAAATTTTATACAAAATGTTATCATTCTACTAAAACCCATAAATTCGCCTACACACATCAGCCGATCATTTATGTGTCATCAATAATAGAGTTTTTAGGAAATTTCATATTTGTCGTAGTTTGTGAAATTAAATTTATCAGTTCTTAAAACTGGTATAAAACATTTTTGACGGAGTTTACAATTTGTCTAAAGAAATAAAAAAATGTACTTCTATAAATCAAAAAGTATTTAAATGTCGAGTTTAAAATTTCGTTGGCTGTAATGGCATTGCAAAACTTCGATCTTCATTTAACTTTTGATTTAAGCAGTTCACTGTCTGATAAACATTGTATATATTTGACACAATTTTCGCAAAAGGATTCGAAATTTTGTGACCAGAGAAAACGTCAACCGGAATTCAAAATTTGACCTACCGTTGTGTCATACATAGAGTGTCTTTTGAATTTCGGTACGTTGTACTGACGGGTAAAAAAAAACAATTTATCTATATACATGCAGTAAAATATTCGACGGTCGCAACCGTTTCTGACTGGAGTGACAAGTTGAGTATACTAAAAAAAAAAAAAATTTTAATCAGAACGGTCCGTTTCATTTTTATAGTTCTGGAATACTAAACTGGTTTACAGACAAACTAACTGTAAACGTTAAAAAATTTAACGGGAGTTTGGACGGTTAAAAAACAGCGAGCAGGATTGTCGCGAACCTAAAAAAAAAAATGCTGATAATTTTTCTAGAAGAGATATCTGTTGACGTGACTGAAAGTGATTTATCATAAAGTGATATTCATGAGATTGTTAAATGGAAAAAAAATATGTATAATCAATATATATATTTAATATTACTATTATTTTCACGAGAAATATAAAACTAGATAATAGTCCCACGGCTAATATTGTTACTATGTTATCGGATACCATTGTTTCGTGCCTACTGTTTCGTTTTATAGCCCTATACATTCTTGAGATTAAAAAAACTATACATTTGTAGCTATTTCCTAGAATATTAGTGTAGTTAATGATTACAGTTTTCGTTTGCGTATAATTACACAATATTACGAAGTATGACCGAGATTTACGAATGCTCAAACATCACACAGTCTGCTATTACAAAATATTTAAGGTTAATTAAAAATTTGGAGTTGTCCGCATGCTCTATCTAAGTTTCTGTTCTTTGATAAAAATTTGGCATTGATTTTTGGACGACGGACGTTGATAACCTTAATGCTCTGATAATGCCAAAAAACGTACACCTGTTAATAATAATACAATAGTGGGGTTTTCAATTGTTTTTAATTGATAAAATTATGTTGTGTTAAAATGATGAAATCTGTAGAAGTGGAGTGCTATAAATTATAACTAATATTTAAGATGATATGTTGTTAAAAAAATTAAATTTAATTTGGTTCCATAAACTGTTTAGAATTGGAGCACGATTAAAAAAAAGGCAGACTTTGTACGAAAACTAAAAAATAAATCATCCTAAAATTGTTGTTTCTATTTGAAAAGTTATTCCTCTATACAATTTAGGTCATTGATAAAATTTAACCGAAATTGCGGTTTGAAAAGAAAAATAAGCGAATAAAGTTCAAAAAAACAAAATTGTATTGTTATTCTTATTGTACTATTACCTATTCGAGTGTTAAATGCAACCAGCAGTTCATGACGTCGGACATTTTCTTTTTCTTTTATGGAAGAATATAAAAGGTACCGACGCCTTTGACGATGATCCAAACACCGACAGTAGAATTATAATATCCTTTAGTATTGTATCTGTTGATCTTTTAATCTTCCCGAACCATTTGAATTTATAGCGATCAACTTACTTACTATTATGAATTCGAAAGATAAAGATTTAAAGATAAATAAAGTAATGATAATTGAAGCAACCAATACCATTACTAAAAACAAATGAATGCTAAACTATATAGTAGTTTCCAATGACAAAATCGGCTAAATGAAACAGCGCGGAAGATTTTAAATTGCGATTGGTGTACGACTAGAGATCAGATAATGAAAACTTAGAATGTAACGCCAAACAGAATATAGAAACTTCCATGTAAAAAGTCACATGAACTTTGTTAAGATACATCATTTTAACTAAGAAAAACGAAAAACATTAATCAACCATTAAATACTAAAAGTGAAATATCAATGCAAATTTAAGTGAATAAACTAAATAGTCGGCCTGATTGATAATTTTTTAAGTAAACTTTAAATAGTTGTTGTTTTTCATCAATCATCATTTAATTCTTTATAAAAACATTTCTCAAGTGTTTACTCTCGCTTTTCCAAAAATACACGTGCCATTAATACTCTTTGTCTAACTAACTATACAATTTTCAAGTAAACCTCGAATGAACCGTATTACACACTAAACGACCCACTAACATAATAGTACTTGGTACTCGAATTGCATTTATGTGGGTGTCGGTAAACTATTCACAATTGCAATTGGTGTGTTATTGTTTTGAATAGCACTGTTTTTTTATTCAGCCACA